TGTGGAATATATTTGATCTCGCGGTATCCACGCTGTTACATTTTTTCACCGAATACGTACTTAAGTGACGTGAGTTCTTGCAATTTTTCAATTTTCACAATGTCAATAAGCTCGCGCGCGCCCGGATTTCATCGACGGTGCCGAGGACTTCCGGCATCCTGAGAGTCGGCACCGTTGGTTTTTTATATTCGTATAATCGCAAGCTACATATTTCATATAGGTCATTTTGGTCCGGGAGAAAAAGGTAGTTTAGTACGATTTACCACCCCATTTGTAGTCGCGGTGCCAAGGGTTGCGGCAAGTTGCGCCCCGGCACCGTGACTTTTTCCGATAAAACTCATCCATATGCACCCTTTAGTACTCTTCCTGAACGTCCGGGACAATAAAGTACATTTTCCAAAAATAAGGGGCGAAGTTAATTTTTTTTTAATTGCTTTCGGCAGGATTTTCGCCGGCACCGTTGTCGATTCTAATACAACTTTTTATGGCGAATCCAATGAAAATTATTAGAATCGTCCGGGCGTTCAAGGTATACTTTCCTACTGGGCTCTTGGACTATTATAGAAACGGATTTTCTAACAATTACGGGTGGTTTGCCAATTGAAAGTAATCATTTCAAATCTTGTGATTGATATACCCCTTAAATTGGACCAATTAAATTCATACAGATATACTTAATTGTCTTGGGAAACATTTTAAAATTGTCTCAGGAACGAATAAGTCCAAATTAAGGGTTGTTCGAAAGTGAACGTTTCAAATCTTGTTTTTGATCTTGAATGCACACTTGTCATCCCTTAAATTGCACCAATAAAATTCGCACAGCTGCACTTAATTTCCTTGGGAACAATTTTCAAATCGTTTCTCGTTTTCTCGTAGTAAAGAACCAATTTGAATTAAAAGGTATCGACAGTACTCATTTTAAATCTATGGGTTGACGTCGAATCTAATTCCGAATTGAATCCCTTAATCTGGTCCAATAAAATTCAAGTAGATTCACGTGGTTTTTTGGGAAACTCCTCATACCCCATACAAATTTTACTTCCAAAAAATTGTCTATCAGGATTACAGATATGGAAGAAGATTTAATAACAATTTAACAAACACATCCTGACGTATTCTGCTCTCCAAAGACAATATAGGCCTCCATGGAGTCTTTTGAAACACGGTTAGTGACTCTTAAAAGCGTTCAAAAACCTTCAAATGCACAGAAAGGCAATTAGAACTCGTAGAGGGTTTTAAATGATTTTCAAAATTCGGTAATAAAACCCCAAGAAACCATTAGACACTCTCAATATTGCCTTATAAGATTGCTTGCGGTTCTAAAGGGTACTAGAACGCTGTGAAGACAGATAAAACCAATAAAGCTTCAAATGTTAGCTTTTACAGACTTTCGCAGATTCCTAGGTGTAGCTATTTAGATAACTCGCGACCGAAGGGAAAAAATTATCCTAAATACCGAGTGTTAAATAAGTTCCAGTTAAACAAGCATATCAATAGATTGCCGAGCTCGTTTTAGCATTTCATAAGAGTCATCGGTAGGAGTGATTAATGCTCGTTACACGAAAAATACATCCAAAAACCCATTCATAAATTGGTTTCGGATTGCGATATAGGTAAATCAAGATAGGTAATTAAAGTAAAACATACCTATGGCATATTCGCCATATTCGCGTAAAAGCGTTTAGATAAATAATTTAAACAATTTGAGCGCGATGACTATGGAAGTTTTCCACTTCAGATATCACCATCTTTCGCGAAAATCAAACCCCGAATACGCCGGGGCTCTCAGCGGTATGGAATACTCCCCCAGCAGTACTCTCAGCAAAGGAAGACTTGATTTTTACCCCTAGCACTGTCATGGTAACATTTCTGAAATGGTAATCAAAGATTCGTAATGCTGGGAGGTATTCCATCAGATCCACGGGTACGATGTTCTCCCACAATAGTAAAGTAAGTTAGATGGCATTTTTTCGAGAATTATCGTATGACATAACAATTGGATTTTTTTGTAAAAAAGTAACTGAGCTCAGGGGGGTATGGAATACCCCAAGAAACCACCAGCAATATCCCCCAGCCATACTTTCAACAAAAGAGGACTTAATCATTTTTTATATTACCCCTAACACTGTCATGGTAACATTTGCGAAAAGGTAATCAAATCTTCGTAATACTGGGAGATATGCCATACCCCTCAGACCCCGACGTTCTCCCACAATAGTAGAGTAGGTTCGACGGCTTTTTTTTCGAAAATTATAACCATTACATTTTTTGTGAAAGGGGGCGAATGCTGGAGGAGTATTCCCCTCCCTCTCCCCTAGCATTTTAAGTCGAACCATTTAAGGTTCCACCTCTTGTACCATACTTACATTACCGTTCTCTGACTGAAGAGGTACAGGGAAACCCTGAATACCCCCCCCCGATGACCCTGCGGGCAGGGGTGTGAAGCTATGAAACACGGTGACCTTCTATTTTTCCTAAAGTCATTGAAGTTAATTGATGACCCTTTCTACAAAACACCACGAAGATAGCATCTTCAACTGAAAATTGTGCAAGATCCTGAAGATCTAAATGGCCCAGATCCTGAATGTTTTTGGATTAGGATTTGGATTCGTGTACTACCACAGTTACACTTTTATCAACAGGTAAGAATAATAAGTAATGTGATATTTTTTTATTTACCCCTAGCATGGTAACAAATCTTTGAACTTTGTAATGCTGGAGAGGGGGGGGGTATTCCATACACCCAGCCGTTTTCCAACAAGGGTCGAGTGACTTCGTTGGCGTTTTCTTGCAAATTATTGTATGAGTGCAAAGCATTAGTAGAATGACAGAGCAGCGGAGGGCGGGGGGTCTGGAATAGCCCCCAGGAGTGCTCTCAGCAAAGGAGAGCCACCTGCTTTCTATTAACCCTGGTATTGTCATGGTAAAAAATCTTTGTAATGCTGGAGGTGAGGAGTATGGAATGCCCCCCCCCCCCCCCCCAAGATAATCATATCTTCGTAATGCACCCAAAGCTACGTTCTACCACAAGAGTAGAGTAAGTTCGATGGTGTTTTTTTGGCAAATTATCGTATGACTGATAACCATTAAACTTTTGTGGAAGGGTATAAAACCAGGACTCTGAGGGGTATGAAAACACCCTAGCATAATCTCCCACCAGTAATCTCAGCAAAGGAGGACTTGATATTTTACCCCTAGCGTTGTCATGGTAACAAATCTGTTTAACGCTGCAGTTAGGGGCTGTTCTAGTCCCCCCGGTACTACGTTTTTCCACAAGGGTGGGGTAACTTCATTGGCGTTTTCTCGGAAATTATCGTATGAGTGCCAATCTTTGAACGTATTTATGGAAGGACTGGAGAGTAAGACTCCCATCGGTTTTTTTTAAATATTATCCCTAGCCCTGTCACAGTAACCTTTGCGAAAAGGTTAAAAACTCTAGGAAACCTTATAAAATCGTGAAATGGTTTGTAAGCTCTTGTAAACTGTTAAAGATTCTTAAAATCCCTTTAAGCTGTTAACGAAACCCAAATGCGCCTATGATTTGGATATTAAATACTATTAAAGGCACGAAGGACCCCCAAACGCGCTTAGTGGTCCATCCTAAAGGTCACTAGAAGGCTACATGGGAGTTTTTGGACAGAAAAGATTTAGTGGCTCCCGAAGACTTGAAGAGACTAATAAAGTTCTTAAATTTTTGTAAAGTTTCTCACACGTTCTTAAAATGATTTAAGCGCTTTAAAGATTTTAAAGACCCCTTAGACTCTTGGAGGCTATTGACCCTTACAAGCGGTTCGACTCTTAGAGAACTTTTAAATACATTTAAATGCACCTTTAAAGGGCACTAAGGACTTTACCAAATTTGAATATTTAGTACTCTAAAACCCTCTGCCTGTCCTGTAAGAGGTTTTAAAGGCCACCATTAGCTGTAGAGATAATTGCGAAGATTCTTGAAGGGAAATATCTGCAGATTCCCAAAGACTTAAATGATCTGACTTAAAGAACAATAAGGTTATAAGAGTTTTGCTAAGCTGTCAAAGATTACACTGTTATTGGACGACTACAAAGTCTATTAGCGGCCCTAAAAGCTCTTAAAGACTTTTGAAAGTACCTACAAACCTTCAAAACTTGTCAATGAGTTGAAAGGCGACTTGGTGATCCATGATATCTCTTAAATGCTCAAAAATTCATAGACTCCTAGGATCTAAAAGATGGAGGGAGGGGGATATCAGTAAATCTCCAAAATTTCTTAAAGTCCCTTAAAATCTTTCAAACATTCCTACGGACTCTAAAAGACTTTAGGAAACTGTTTCTCTCGTCAGGAAACCTTCTTCTCGTCAGGACTTCCTACAGATCTCATCTAATACTCTTCACGTTCCCTTCAAAATTTTCTTCGCTCAAGTCCCTTTGATATTCTTTTCAAGCTATTCTTAAGTGGTTCTTATGTTCCCTCAAGTTTTCTTAAGGCCCTCTCAAGCTCTTAAAATCTCTTCATGTTTTCCTCAACCATTGTTTAATTTCTCAGGTTGTTTTCATCGAATTTCCATCATGATGCCTAGAGAAACTCATATTTCATCCAAAAGGTGCGCTCGATCTGAACACAAGCTTCCATCTCTTCCACGTGGTCGCAACTTTCGTCCAGCATTCTATTTCTGGTGCATCTACCCAAAACACAGTAGCGCTACGGAAATAAAGATGGCGCACATGTCTTCGTACGTTTGAATTAACTGGCGGTATCGGCATTTGTACTCGATGATAATTAAAATTAAACGCGTCAATCAAACGATAGTAAAATTGGGTCAAGCAAGAGAGCAAACCCGCGTCCAATGCCCTCCAATGAGAGAAAATGATGGATGACCTATAGCGCTGACGTTTCCCAATTCCAAACAAAGCGCATCATTTTGAAAGTGTTACGTAAAGGATGATTAGGGAAATTAATCGGTTGTATAATGCCTTCATTATGTCCGATATGTGTGTTGAAAGTGCCATGCGTGAAATCGGGGGATTTGTTTTGGCCGCCGTCGAGCAAATCTCACTCTTAGCGCAATGATATTTTAGAAACGAGGAACTTCGTCAGCTGACTGTGTAGAGCAATATTGATCAGAAGCCGTTCGGATACGAGTTTGGGCCTTACGGTAGGAGAATGGTGGGATTGTTCTCCCGCCACGCGAAATGTGGGTCAAATCTAAGGTATAGTATTGGTCTTTGCTGATAGAAGCGGATTATTGCAAGTGGCTCCCTAGCTGAAATGATGGTAAAAATTTTTTTCTAACTTGTGGTGATAGTAATGCTCGAGCAGTTGGTTCTCAATAACGTTCACTCTCGATCGCTGTTTTGATTCTGCGAGTACTGTGCTGTTCCACGCGAACTTTAAAGGTAAGCCTGCTTTTCTCATTTTTGCACCTTTTGCATACCGCAAATTGGGTCAAAATTTTGATTTTCCAACGCATCTCTTACATCATTTTTAAAATTATTACAAAACCCATCAAGGCTAACAGTTGTCCTCCCACCAAAACACGCGTGCAAAGCCATAACATCCTGCTCCAACTGTTAGTGCCTTAAGATCGTCGCGTTTCCCAAAACTAGGTCACCAAACCACAACAAATCTAATCTAATTGCAAGGGAGTTGACCTACGCTCAAATAGAGCCATAAACTTTGCCTTTTCCAGCCAATTTGCTTAATTTAAAAATTGATTTTGTCATTATGTAAGCGAGAGGAAAAAGAGCGCGTGTAACCTAATAGGATTATAGTAGCGGCCCACTCGTGTTTTAAATTACTTCTGGCCATGACGTAACTTTCGTTTAAAATGATTGCCCATAGTCGAATAAATTTTGGGGGCCTACACCCCTTTTGGTAGTACAACAAACTGACCCATTTTCACATCGATTTTTCGCGTTGCCATTGAAAATCGTTCGCGATTTAGATGAAGCCGTTTCCGCGACCTTAGTCTAATTAACGATTGACGCTTAATGTCAATGTCTTTCGCAAGCTAAAAGCAATCGGAAAGTTCTCAAAAATGTCAAACTTTCTTTTCGGTCGTGCGTATACCGAAAATTAGGCCGCTTTTGTAATTCAATGTTCTTTTATTGTAAGGCCAGAATATGTACCTAGGCTAAACATTCACGAATTAGCTAGTCGTTTCTTGAAAACCACGAAATATTCAGTTCTAATATTCTTCACATTTTTCTGAATTTGAACCAGAATTCATTCAGACATTTCTCCCTTAAATTTGTAGGGTGGGAAGTGCACAAAAAATGTTTGGATAACCGAGCTTCTTTAAACAAATCTTCAACAGACTATTTTCTTGAGATACACTACGATATATTCAGCCGCAATATTTTTGAAATTATTCAAAATCCCTAGTTTCAACCAAGATTTATTTAGTAATTTCTCCCTTAAATTTTTAAGGTGGGAAGGTCTCGGAAAAAATGCACAAAAAATGTTTCATACCGCACTTCTTTAAAAAAAAAACCCCAACAAACAATTTTCTACAATATTTTTGAAATTGTTCGAAATCCCTAATTTGACCAAAAATTTATTTTTAAAACTTCTCCATTAAATTTATAGGGTGGAAAGGTGCACAAAAATGTTTCTTACAGAGCTTCTTTTAAAAAACCTTTAACAAACTATTTTCTTGAGACACACTACAATATATTAAGCTGCAATATTTTTGAAATTGTTTGAAATCCCTAATTTGAACCAAAATTTATTTAAAAATTTCTCCCTGAAATTTATAGGGTGGAAAGGTGCAAAAAAAGTTTCATACTGCGCTTCTGCAAAAAAACCTTCTTGAGATACTTACACTACGATATATTCAACCGCAATATTTTTGAAATTGATCGCAATCCCTAACTTGAACCAAAATTTAAGTAGAAAGTTCTCCCTTAAATTTTTAGGGTAGAAAAGTTAACAAAAAATGTTTCATACCGAGCTTCTTTCGAAAAATATCCAACAAATTATTTTCTTGAGATACACTACGATATAATCAGGAGCAATATTCTTGAAATTGTTCGAAATCCCTGATTTGAACCGAAATGTATTAAGAAATTTCTCCCTTCAATTTTTAGGGTGGAAGGGTGCACAAAAAATGTTTCACAAAGCGCTTCTTTAAAAAAATTTCCAACAAACTATTTTCTTGAGACACACTACAATACATTAAGCCGCAATATTTTTGAAATTGTTTGAAATCCCTAATTTGAACCAAAATTTATTTAAAAATTTCTCCCTGAAATTTATAGGGTGGAATAAAGTTTCATACTACGCTTCTTTAAAAAAACCTTCTTCAGATACTTACACAACGATATATTCAACCGCAATATTTTTGAAATTGATCGCAATCCCTAACTTGAACCAAAATTTAAGTAGAAAGTTCTCCCTTAAATTTTTAGGGTAGAAAAGTGAACAAAAAATGTTTCATACCGAGCTTCTTTCGAAAAATATCCAACAAACTATTTTCTTGAGATACACTACGATATATTCAGTCGCAATATTCTTGAAATTGTTCGAAATCCCTAATTGGAACGGGAATGTATTTAGAAATTTCTCCCTTAAATTTTTAGGGTGGAAGGGTGCACAAAAAATGTTTCATACAGCGCTTCACTCAAAAAACCTTCTTGAGGTACTTACACTACGATGTATTCAGTCGCAATATTTTTGAAATAGTTCGAAATCTTTATTTTGAACCTAAATTTATTTAAAAATTTCTCCCTTAAATTTTTAAAGTGCACAAAAATGTTTCATACAGCGCTTCTTTTAAAAAAATTTCCAGCAAACTATTTTTAGTTTCAAATGATTTGACATAGTCAGTGTTAAACCACCCCTAAATTCCGCTGGTAACACCCCTTATACCCCTTGCATTACAAAGCAAAAAAATATGTGTTTCTAAAAATGACTCGTGATTGTATAAACTTGTATTACCCTTTATTTAAGGATATCTCCGATCCGATTTTTTATTTAAGGGTTGATCTATGACGCTTCAATTAACCACAATATTTGATATCATCAGTGTAAAACGCCCCTAAATTCGGCAGGTAAATTTGCATAAGAAATAAAAAATCATTTTCAAAAAACCAACCCTGATTGTATAAACTTGTATCTATGATCTATGACGATCTTCAGTGTTAAAACACCCCTAAATTCGGCTGGTAACCCCTTATACATTTTTATTACAAACAAAAATCATTTTCAAAAAAGGCCCGTGATTGAGCTATGACGATCTTCAATATATACAATATTTGATGTAGTCAGTATTAAAACACCCCTAAATTCAGCTGGTGGCCCCTTATACATTACAAAAAAATCATGTTAAAAAAATGAACTGTATTGGTTGTATTAACCTTATTTAAGGGTTTGATCTGTGACGAAATGAACTTTTAAAAGATTAATACGAACAATCCACTAAGCGGTAGAGTGTAATACAAAAACTAAATCAAACCAAAGTAGCTCCTCGTTCCACTTAGATAACAATAAATGACTTTAATGCTATAATTAGTACCATCAATACAGATAAAGCCACGTACATACATACGATCTAACCGTCGCATCGTAATTTCAGAACAAATCCGTCGCAATTATGACGTCCCCAACAATCAACGGCGGCAACGGCCACAAGGAAGCAAGCAAAAACGACTCCACAAGCACAGTCTCCGAGGACACACAGCAACGGCAGCAGACCCAAGAGAGGCCAACGCCGGCGCTGACCGCGTGGTGGAGAGTCTTCAAATTAGCGAATTTGCTGATGCAGCAAGGTTGTTAGATTCTATGTATTGTTGATTAATCAGCCAACGGACGCGCGTCGTCCGTTTAGGTTAGTAAATCTCTAACTATAGTAAGAACCATGCCAATAATTACTAGTAAATTTTACGCCATCGTATTTTATAGGGATAAATAAACGGAGGGGAAATGCTTTTACTAAGTTTCCAGTTGTATTTGTTAATCTTATTCTAATTCTATTTTTGTTAATGGTTGCGTGTTGCAAACGGGGTGGCAAGTCGCCGGTTCATTGTTGCACTATGTGATATGTGATTATAATATCAGTATAAATTAAGTCAATAATTTACTTCATGTATGTAATACAATAAATGATTGTCTGTTATTTTGTGTGTAAAAAAAAAAATTAAAACGCTGACCTTATATTGTACGAAAGTGGGCGTGGCGAAGGCGGGGCCAGGCGTCCTCCTTCTACTTTGCATCCGTCACTCGTATTTCTGGAATGAATAAAAAAAATTGTCAGGTAAGGTCATTGACGTGGGGCAGAAGTTTTATGCACGATATATAGGGATCAATATTTAGTAATTCAACCTTTGACTTTTTACAAAAACAATCTCATGTCGAAATCCCGACTTTTGAATTCGGAATGACTGTGAATTATGAATTTGCTTTTATCGTTATAAGAATCGTCAATACCACGACCAATACATTCACATTTATTTAAAATTTCAAAAAAATATCTACAGGGTGTCTTAAATTGAGTAGGATAACATGGCTATCTTTGTTATTATTATACTTACAGATTGGGTTAAATTGGCAAAGTTGTGGAGTTTTTGATGCCAATGGATATTCCGATGCGAGATTTTGAAAAAAATAATTCGTTGCGTAGATAATTGAAAAAAAGTGAAAATCGCCATTTTTAAAAAGTTCAAATATTTTAGTAACAAAGAGCTATAGAAAAAAGTTTCAAATAAAAGTTGCAAGATTGGATAAATTCAATGAAAGTAGAAAATTTTTTTTTAAAATGGCGGTTTCGTGATACTGACATCAACGTATTTTCAATGGACGCCATATTGGATTTTTACGTCACTCGATAGAGAAAAAATTACAAAATATCCATTAGCATCAAAAACTATACTTCCCAATTTAACCAAATCTGTAAGTATAATAATAACAAAGATAGCCATGTTATCCTACTCAATTTAAGACACCCTGTATAATAATCACGTTGGCATTGCGCAGCCCGCGCATGCGCACTACTCATTTTTATTATATGTGATATGGACAATGCTTCTAAAATTTTCGATTACGTTACTATACAGATTATTTATTGGAATTTTCGAAACCTCATGGTTTCAGGGGCGAGTTATGATGTAGTTGTTTAGGAAACGGAAAATTGTATACAGAATCGAAAAGGCATCCCAAGAAATGCACCACTGGTTCGAACGGCCATTTAAGAACGCACCATAGTGAATTAGGGGATGAATATTTGAAAAATGTGTGGAAAATTGTATACTGAAATTAAAAGGCATACAAAAAAGCACACTGTTGGATTTGATTTTTTCGCAGAAGTACGTGAAAGAGGATTTGTAAACCTGTACAAAATTTCAAGGTTTCAAAGTGTCTTCCCAAACGAATATTGGTTTTTATTAATAGAAAGAATTTATCTGGATAATTGGAGTCAACGAGATATGTGTTCCAATGCTACATACAGTCGTATTGTTTCTTATATGCGGAATTCGCAGAAGTAAACCTTGTAATTGCACAAATGAATGTTTGATCATATGATCTCTAAACATCTACGAGTACACTGTAGGTAAATTAAGTAATTGATATATTCGGAATGGAAAAAATGCAATTTGGGTGTGCCACACTTTTATGATTCACCCTGTATAATTAAAATTATTACTGCCTAGTTCCTAGTAGACTTTAAAGAACCTCAAAACTTTCGATAACCTTTCCCTGATAATCGACCGTTTCTAAACTTATCAGCCACACAGTCTACCCCAAACTAAGTCGACACTATTGCTAACTTTCTTTGTTGTAGAGTTAGAAAGACGGTTCAATTACCAAAATTGTGTATTTTTGTCTACTGAATCCAAATCTGTGTACAAAAAACAAAATAACATCTCATTTTTCAGATAATAACAAAAATGCGACTTTTTATATGTAACGCCCTGTGTATTATTACACAGCTTATTCAGTTCTTCCCAAAGTTTTTAATGCACCATGATCGAATTGCTGTTTCAATTATTTTCATTTCGATCTGGTTATCCATAAAAAATATAAATGATAAAAATAGATAACAGTATCTTTCTAAAACAATAACTAGAAATAGGTCTCATTATAGTAGACTGTTAACAAAACAAGAAAGAATAAAAGTTGAAATAAGTAATTTAAAAAAAAAACTTGAATAACTAACTGGATGGAACTGAAAATAATTGAAAAATCTTGTTTATTTCCAGTATTTTGGCTAATTTAAAATGTAATAAGCTGTCATATGATGTAATAATATACAGGGTCTTTAATATAAAAAAGTCGCATTTTTCTTATTTTCTAAAAAATGCGATGATGTTTTTTTTTTTGGATATTTAGATTACCCAAAAATACACAATTTTGGTAATTTAACCGCCTTTCTAACTGTACACCCAAGGTAGTTAGTAATAGTGCCGACTTAATTTGAAACTGACTGTATGTGCTGTGTGAAATTTGAACATTTAGGTTATTTATCATTACATAATGAGGTGGCCATTTCAATCGAAATTACGTTAAAAGGTTCTAACAAAAGTCTACGTATTGTAAAAATTCATTGTACTAGAGGAAGGCGCATGTGGAACTATTTGGAAATGAAATTGCTGTCCTGTCAATTTAGTGTTGTCTTTTTATTGGCGAGGTGGAAAAGAGATGGAAAATTTTGTAGTAAGTCAAAATCCGAAGGGTTCTTGACATCCAAATCTTGCAGGTTTCTAAAAATCTGATTTAGACACACCGGGATACTAAGTTTTGCACAAATTTCGAATATTGAAAAATTATTTTTTTCTTGAACCCCCAATTACGGTTTAGGAATGCACGATTTTTCGGTAGAACTTGGTATAATACCGATATGAAGAGAATTATTTCGGAATTGCTGTAAGGGCGTGTTTGGTAATTGAGACTTAAATTTAAACACAGGAGCACCCTACTAAAAGATTGGCAATGCACATTTCAATGGCTACAAAATATTCGCTTTTTCTTGGCGAGTGGAAATGGAAAGGAATGCTTACAAAAATAGAAACTAATGTGTTGTTAACAACCGGCTGACAGATTGCGCGCCCTCAAAACCAAATTAAACCTGAATTACGTATCCATTATGCACTTCATTGGCTCGTCTGATCGATTCCATGATAAAGTAGCGAAAAATTCGTCATGATCTAAATACTGCGTAGTTTCGTGTAAGTACTGTCACCGCTTCCGTTTCCGAATTTAACGCAAATTTGCTCACCCGAAAGATCGCCGCACAGATTCCAAAGAGTTCGACTCGAAAATGTGTGGCGAAAGTCTTGGGGTCGTCGGGCTCGCAGGCGTCGAGCTCGCCTTCAGATTACCGGTGCTGAGCATACGGCCGAACTTGAAACGCAAACGCTTTTTACCGGCAGGCGAAATATTCGGCGACCGCTTCTCGTTGACGAGCTTCTCGTAGCCGGGACTTTTCGGCTCCATTTCCTCGACGCAGCAAGGGAGGGCGCAAAGAAGAAACGACCCGAAACACCCGTCCAGTATTTTTTATGCGCGTTACGCGAACCGTCAAACGCCGAAACATGAAACGTTTTGTCCTGAAAAATTGGAAAGACCGCGGGCAGGATGTGCAGATAGATAGATGCTTCCGTTCTTATGGTAAACCGCGTGTCCGTTTTTCCGTTTCACTTGAGTTTTTTTTCATTATCCAAGCAGACGCAGTTAAATTGTTGTAGCGCACTAATTTGTTTAAGGTACCAAGATAAGATAATCTTACAGTAAAGAAAATGTTCAACTTATCACGCACGACCCCAATTTCTTTTCTTTCTGGATTAGGTATATAAGGAACAACACTGTGTTTGTCCGCCGTTTTTTATTTAGTTAAAGTTTAAGACAGACTTTGTGTCTTTGCCGACCTAGGATTGGAAAAACGAAAATTTGGATGGTTTGTCAGCTAAATTTCAACCACACATTCAATAGTTTAGACCCCTCATACCTAAAAAAGAACATATGTAGAACAACTATCCACTACCCTGAGGATGTATATAAGAAATGGATTAAAAATTTAACATATACAGGGAGGGCCATTAGTGCGTGGGTTCATCATCAACGCATATATTGTCGGGGCATTGTTGAAGGACGAAATTACAGGGAGATTTATATCAAAATTCCACCCCTAGTATGCATGTTTCGACCCCTTTTCAATTTTTGTGTAATTATGCATTACACATGATATCTAAAATAAGTCGTTTATCCCCAATTAGCCATTTTTTCAAAAAATCCAGAAAAAGATAATTTTTATTTTGTATTTTTCTTCTATTCTTATTTAAAACTTTCTATTTTGGTTTTTGTAGTTTTTGAACAAAAAATCCACATTTTTTCGCAGTGGAGATGAGTTACACATAATTTCAATGGAAAATCCCTTTAAAATCAAGCACATATAAATTTCAAAATACAAAAACCTAAACATAGGTATATTATTTGTATTATAATTACACAACTAAAATAACAAAAATCAAAGGAAGAAGAAAGAAATGGCTGAAGAAGTACGAAGTCCAGAAAAATTATGGAAAAAAACAAACACTACTATCATCATTTTTATTGCTCTATGAATATTAGTAATAATCATTCCTCTACTATGAGCTCACCTATTGTTAAGAATTTTTGCAAAAATTTACAAATATATTGTAAAAAATTGAATTTATTTCCCTTTGCCTTATTTTGTAATTAAGGATTAATAGAATATTTATTTTTTTCTTTCGTGTTTTTAAAAAGTATTGTTTTGAATTTTTCTAAACAAACACCTTTAAAATAGATCATTTATTGTTAAAAAACGTACTAGTTATAAAGAATACTTTTTAAGATGTATCTTGAAAATTTAAAAAAGTACTTTAAAAGATAATGTGCATCATTACCGTTTAAAGTACATTTTTTAAATTTTTAAGATACATCTTAAAAAGTATTCAGGCTTTGCATACAAAGGAAGTTCCCTTTCTTTGAAATAAATTACATGACCTACGGCTAGCTCCTGAGATAAATTTACGTTTACATACTTACAATCCTTCGCTATATTTCTCTGAAAATTGAATTTAAACTTTGATTTTCTGAAAACTTTAAAATTGCTCATTTGCAAAATTAAACGCCAAGTGACCATAAAATTTCTTGTACAGGGTGTTACATATAAGTATGTAAAAAATTGGGTAGTAGAGGGGATCAAAAGAAGCACCTTTTTTAAATAAATAGAGGATCCAATATATTTGGTTTGGGAGCCACCTTAAGAAAAGTGGTGACTTTGGGGTCTTTGCATTAAAAAAAAAAATTCAAAATTCTTACCACGAAAAAGGGCACACTTAAACGGAGGTGCGAAAAAAGATCTGATTTCTACGAAATATGGTATCTGGGGGTTTTTGAACATGAAAATCACGAATCTGGAATTAGTTTTTGAAAATTTGATTTTAATAAGCACTTTAAGTGGAACCTTTTTAGCCTAGGTGGGTATTATCATCGGCACATCGAATTTTTTAATACCAAATTAATTCCTTAACTTACATCGGTATTATTTGCGACAAGCGAAATTAAATGACTCACTAGTAGACGGAAGACACTTTCTGACCCGAAGGACTAATTTTCAGTTGAGTATAAATTGCTTGAAAAGTGATTCGACAATTTTGTTCCTTAACTCACCAAGTATGCACATAACAAATTTCGTGGAATTCTCTCCATTTTCATTGTATGGCAGTAGAATTTTTTTCGAATTTTCAAAATTAATTTCAAATTCGCTATTTTCATATTCATAAATCCCCAGATACCAAATTTCGTCAAAATTAAAATTTTTTCGTACTCCCATTTAGGTATTTGAAACAATTTTTGCAAAATCGAAAACGACATACCCCAAAACCCATTCAAAGACGTACCACCAGTCTTTTTAACTCATGAATGCTGGGAAAAAATTATAGAAATGCAAATTTCACTACTTTTTTGAGAGTGGTTCCCAAACGAAACCCGTTATATCCTCCGTACGTAACTGGCGACACTGATGACCTAACGCTAATTGATTAATTATAATTTTCTCTAAGGATCATGCTCCTGCGCGTTTAACCACGAATCATCTAATTTGTTTCCTAAAACTAATCCCGTCTATTCCTTTTAAATTAAAGAACACCTACAAAATGACTTCTTATTAACGCAGACGGTCATCTTTAATCGTTAAATAGTTTGTTTAATTCCCGCTCTACGAATCAAATAAAAAGCAAAGATACTAAATCATTTCCAAATCCTACCAACATGTGCAACGTTGCAGTTTCCACGATACTAAAATGACCTCATGCTGAATTCGCAGTTTGCTCTAATTAAGATAAATAAATATGATCTAAATTCACGACATCCCGTCTTCAGACATCCGGAGTGCATTAAGAAAACAAATAAACAATAAATAAAAATAATATTAGGATATTGGGAAATGTAGCTCCCAAGCGGAAAAGTTTGCATCTTCGGTCAGAGAATAAACTTAGGTCTCGCGAGTGAACGGTAGTACTACAATATTTGTTGCTTATGGGTCAAATTAGTACAAAAAGTACGAAACCAAAGTACCAAATTTAGATGACTGTACGATCCGGATTAAGTAAAAAATGTTGCTGATAATAAATAATAACAAAAGAGTACAAAATCACGATCCAAAATTTTGATAAATCTGTGAGAAAGTTGCGTACTTACCGCGATTATTTACATCGTGTCCAGAAGATTCGAGAAGATCCCAGGAACTGTGTAGATGAAGAACGCGCGGTGATTCTGGGACACTGGGAACAATGCACGAGGTTAGTAGGCAAACCTCTCAGTTTAAATAATTATAGAAAGAGTGTTCGTTTAGTAATCAATCTTCTATCTCATCCAAGATTTAATCGATTAACAAACGAACGTTCCCTTTGTGATGCAGACACTCACCTTTTGTGATGAAGCTGGCCCCTGTGTAATAGTAGACGAGGTGCAACCATTTCCGAAGACATTCACCTTAGCAACGAAAGAATTGCCAGCAGTACTTCTTCACAGTCGTTCGCAGAAACAACCGTTCACTTCACAAAATTGGTATGGCTATGAATTCATAGTCATACTGCTTAATATGAAGTAGGCCGATTGATCTCGCGAAAAAAACAACTTAAGAATCACTGCCGGCAATCTCACGTTACCAAGATAATGAGAAAATGGCCACAACTCGCCTACTACTACACGAGACTCAGCTAAAAACAGCCGTTGATCTGCCTTGCACTAATCACTTTTCTCCACTGCTAAATACATAATATAAAATGCAAAGGGCAATGTATAAGAGAAAAAAATCCTACCTTTATAAGGCTGCCCTTCTCGAATCTGAAACAAAGAACAAAGTTTAGTTATGTACGCGAAGAGCACTGGCAAAATTATCTACTGCTAGTGTCAAAGTACCCTTACAGAAATTAAATAATTAATTGCCAAATTTTCAGATAACAGGCTTTTATTTATTTAGTTATTGAAATAGCGCTGAGTTACATATTTCACTAAAAATATTGAAACGAAGCCAAATGTGTTTCCTGTGGATGTGCGTGTTTGTCAAGAGGGCTAACAGTAGAGGATGCAGATTCTTTAATTAGAAAGTAAAAACTTACCCTTAGCCTTATTAATTCGGTCTTGCCTGGGACGGACCATTCACCACAGACGGGACGACACACCGCTTCGGTACAGGTTCGCGGACTTCTGGCGCTGCTACTAACTGTAAAATAAAGCATTTTCAAATAAATCTATTGACGCGGTTTTGAATATAGTTAAGTCATCATGATTGCAGAACTACTCAAAATGTGTGCAAAGTACAAAAACAGTTACCTGGTTTCTTTCTTGAATCTTGTTCCAATGGGCTTGAGCGTGGACGTGGACCCAATCAGATGTGATCCTCACCACTACAGACGCCCACAGTTTCTTGCAGTAAGGCACTAACGCTGTGAAAAATGGATCAGATTAGTACGCTAACCCCAACAGACTCCATAACATTTCATATATAAAGCGTGTTCGTTTATAATCAATTATTATCTACTGATTATTAAATGAAAATTTCCTTTGGGTTTCAGACAATCACCTTCTTTTCGAAATGATGAAGCTGAACTTTATGTAATAACGAATGGAGTACCACAATCACCTTGGGAATGGATGAATTTCCTGCAGTATTTCTTTTCAGTCTGGTTCAGTTTACTCCATAGAATTGATATGGCTATGAATTCATAGTCATACCGTGAAAGAGACCATTCTAAGAAGAATTGCTAGCAATCTTTCGTTACCAAGATGATGAGATTCTGAGAAAATTCACTACTACGAAGGTCATCTAAAATGTACGATGATCTTCCTACCTTTATAACGCTGCCCATCTGGAATCTGGAACGTGACTAGTGGCTTCTAGAAGGTTTATCGTTTTTGATTTTTGAAGAGATCAGATTTTGATTTGCGTACTACGATAGATATATTTCATAAAATCGAAATTTACCCTTAGCCTTATTGTTTTGCTCTCGCCCGGAAGCACGACTAATCGAAAGTTCAGAAGGAACATTGCTCAACCGCA